TGATCCAGGGAGGGTCTGTGTTGTACCAAATACCTTCCACCTCTTAATGCTAGACTTCAATATGCTTCTAGGCATTGATAAAGCTGTTTGATGGTTTTTTTCATCTCCTGATCTGTGCCTGTCAACAACTCCTGTCCTGGAGATCTTCTGACATTGCCACCCATAGTTGATTGTTTGCTTCAGTTTCCATTATCAGGAACTGAAATGCTCCAGGAAAGCTTTTTTCATGCTGAGCTAATAAAAATGATCACAAGTGGAAGTCTAATGGCTTTGTGTGCATTGAGAAGGTGATTATCTACACCTGATTGAGTTTTCAAGTCATTTTTAGGCGGGGGGGTGATCCTTTTTCCAACTCGATTGTTTTTGAATTAAAAAAAAAAAAAAAAATTCTGACATGTTGGTGTTATATCTTTTACTTCAGGCATGTCCAAAGTCCAGCCCGCGGGCCATTTACGGCCCGGGGCTCGGTTTAATACGGCCCTCCAACAGCCCTCCCTGCTCTGTGTAATGTGGCACTCCACGGCCCTCCCTTCTATGGCAGACAGTCTTCTGCTTGAGAGCAGAGGGCAGTGCGCATGCCTGACTGCGGCGCGTTCTCCCTGGTCTGTGTAAATGCGGCTGTCGCACGGCCCTCCCTTCTGTGGCAGACAGTCTTCTGCTTGAGAGCAGTGCGCATGCGTGACTGCGCCGCGCTAGGAGCGACAGAGGGTGGTGACGTCAGGGCCGGGCTTCCAGCGTGAAGTGTGTTTCTCTTCCCCTCCCGGGCTGCTGAGCAGAGACTTCAGCTCCAGCTACCTTTTTCACCCTTCACATTAGTACAGGGAAGTTTTTTTTAAATTTATTTTCAATACATTGTGAAAACTCAGCTGTCAGTTGATCTTAATGTTATGAAATGAAAAGTATGTCGTTTGCAATTAACTTGGCATAAAATAATTTATTTGCATTTAATTGTAATGGTTCAAAGAATGTTTGGAAAAATGTTCAGCCCTCCACTATGTTCACTTCATCCAATCTGGCCCTCTTTGAAAAAAAGTTTGGACACCCCTGTTTTACTTGGATGTTATAAGTTGCACTGAGTAAATACAGCTGGATAAAAAAAAACGTGCCTGCCTTCATTACAGGCTGCAAGGCAACAAATGTGATTATTTTAAAGGGGTGATTCTTTTCTATACCCGCTGTATATTCTAGTCTTATGAATGGCCCACATCTGTAGAAGGCTCATAGAAAGTGGTTTTATATGTTTTTTGATACTCCATCCATGGCCCATTATTTTTAATTGCTAACTTTGTTGCTAAAAAAGAAAGTGATTTGTTAGTTCACATTGATCATCCTTGAGGCCAATGGTCAATCTGTGCCATCAGCAACTAACACTAACCTAAATGTTTTATATTGTTTTCCCTTTTTTATGTGCTTGCTCCGTGTTTTGAATATTGCATCTCATATACAAAAGAATAGCTGCTCCTTGTATAAGTTATATACAGCGGATATAAAAAGTCTACACACCCCTGTTAAATGTCAGGTTTCTGTGATGTACAAAAATGAGACAGTTGAACAACAAACTGAAATCTTTTAGGTGGAGGGAAGTAAAACTAAAATAATATGGTTGCATAAGTGTGCACACCCTTACACTAATACTTTGTTGAGCATCACTCCAAATCTGTCAGATTGTGAGGGCATCTCCTGTGTACAGCCGTCTTCAGATCGCCCCACAGATTTTTGATCGGGTTCAGGTCTGGGCTCTGGCTGGGCCATTCCAAAACTTTAGTCTTCTTCTGGTGAAGCCATTCCTTTGTTGATTTGGATGTATGCTTTGGGTCATTGTCATGCTGAAAGATGAAGTTCCTCTCCATGTTCAGATTTCTAACAGAAGCCTGAAGGTTTTGTGCCAATATTGACTGGTATTTGGAACTGTTCATAATTCCCTCTACCTTGACTACGGCCCCAGTTCCAGCTGAAGAAAAAGAGCCCCAAAGCATGATGCTGCCACCACCATGCTTCACTGTGGGTATGGTGTTCTTTTGGTGATGTGCAGTGTTGTTTTTGCACCAAACATATCTTTTGGAATTATGGCCAAAAAGTTCAACCTTGGTTTCATTAGACCATAACACATTTTCCCATATGCTTTTGGGAGACTTCAGATATGTTTTTGCAAAATTTAGTGAGTCTTGGATGTTTTTTTTCGCAAGAAAAGCCTTCCGTCTTGCCACTCTACCCCATAGCCTAGACATATGAAGAATACAGGAGATTGTTGTCACATGTGCCACACAGCCAGTACTTGCCAGATATTCCTGCAGCTCCTTTAATATTGCTCTAGGCCTCTTGGCAGCCTCCCAGACCAGTTTTCTTCTTGTCTTTTCATCAATTTTGGAGGAACATCCAGTTCTTGGTAATGTCATTGTTGCGCCATATTTTCTCCACTTGATAATGACTGTCTTCACTGTGTTCCAAGATCTAATGCCATAGAAATCCTTTTGTACCTGTCTCCTGATTACCTTTTAACAATGAGATCCTTCTGATACTTTGGAAGCTCTCTGCGAACCATGGCTTTTGCTTTAGGATGTGACTAAGAAAATGTCAGGAAAGAGCTACTAGAACAGCTGAACTTTATTTGGGGTTAATCAGAGGCACTTTAAATGATGGCAGGTGTGTACTGACTCCTATTTAACATGCTTTTCAATGTGATTGCTTAATTCTGAACACCGCTACATCCCCAGTTATAAGTGAACACTTATGCAATCACATTATTTTAGTTTTTTATGTTTACTTCCCCACCCCCCAAAAAAAGATTTGTTTGGATCTCAATTGAGTTGTACAATTTATAGGTCACATTAAAGGTGGAAAAAGTTCTGAAATGATTTATCTTTGTCTCATTTTTTTACATCATAGAAACCTGACATTTTAACAGGGGTGTGTAGACTTTTTATATCCACTGTATATATTGGGGAATGTTAAAAGCTTAAATTCAGGTTTACTCATCAGTGATGCACAGCCGTTGTGCAGCAGCAAGCAGAGCCTGCAAATGTGTGTAGCAATTATGGTTGCACGTCATTCAATGATCTTGTGAGCGTCAACTTATGTCGGAGAGAAGCCTTCAGTCATAAGAATGTTATGCTGTCAAGAAAATGCATATTATATAGAGTTCAATGGTAATGCACATAAACACATGTAAAACCCACCTCAAACGTGCTGCACAGATGTGTACCAGCCCTTAAACAAACAGTCAGGTGTTCACAATGCTTGACAGGTACAGCACATCTATATTACACAGGCCGATAAGTCCCTGAAGCTTTTTTCAAGAGTCCTGATTCCCAGTCTTATAAAGATTTTAAATCCCAGACAAAGGGCGGCTTTAGCAACCCCTGAAATGCTTTGGCTTTAAAGGATACGATCAGATCTAATAAATAAATACACATTTTTATGCAGGTTAACAAATGTGCATTTACGTTTTTTTTTCTTAGGAGCCTGTAAATCATTGCGCTGCGATCAGCAGATTGCGCATGCAATGTCAGAATCTTGCAGACTGTCAGTGTAGCTGTCTGTCCGTACTTCCGATATTCTGATGCAGGCAGTTACTTCAGTCCAGGAAGCTCAATGGACTATGAGAGCACTTACCTGCACCTTCACAGTTCATTGAGGATTGCAAGCTGTCCCGTGGCTGACGCTGCTTGTAGGTATTCATTCACAGAACCCTGTGAATGAATGACACAGCTGTCTGGCCCTGCAAGGCCACCTTCTTTTCAAATTCTGACAGCGGGTACAGCGAGAAGATCCCCCTGGCCCACTGTCACTGCGAGGGGGAAATCAGGGGGAGGCGGTGGGAGCGGGAACATGTTACATATTCCACCCTAAAAATGAATGGTACATGTAATGCGTTCTTCAAGGTGAACCTATCCTTTAGGCTCCATTTACACTATAGCGTTTCAAATCGCGGTGGAACGCCCCTGTGAAATGGACCCGAAGTGTGAAAATGCTCGATGGTGTATTCAGGTGCTATTCATTTCAATGGCACCTGAACACACAGGGTGTTTTTGCCGCTATCACGGCATATTTTTCTGAGCGGCAAACGTGCGGCGATCGCGTACAAAAACTATCAGGATGCGCGACGCCCAAAAAAGGTTCCGGAACCTTTTTTAGGCATCGTGCGTCTCACGAATTTGCACAATCATGGTGTTTGCCGCTTGGAAAGATGCCCTGCATTTTCAGGAGCCATTGAAATGAATGGAAGCTGAGCACACAATTATGCATTTTTACACTTTGGGTCCTTTCACATGGGGCGTTCCGTTTTTTCTTTGAAAAAATTTGACTGATTTGATGAAAAAAACAGATCAGTTTACATCTGTTTTTTCATCAGCTTTTCATCAGTTTTTTACATCCTTTACCAATGCAGAAAGGGACCGTATGTCTGTTTACATCAGTTTTTCATCCGTTCCGTTTTTTTTATGGAAGAAAAATAGTTTTTTTTTCAACAGAAAAAGCCTAATGTTAACGGATGCGGACATTAATGGATGTAAACAGATGACAATGCGTTTACATCCACTAGTCCATAGAAATGCATGAGTGTCTGTTTTTCATCTGTATGGGCAGATGGAAAATGGACATACGGAACGCCCATGTGAAATGACCCTTTCACAACACATTTTCAAATCGCGGGCCGAATCACGGCGATTCTGTCTGCAATTTGAAACACCCTAGTATGAATGGAGCCTTAACATCTTGTGTTTTCTTAACTAAGGAATATTACATTTAGATTTCGAGACTCCAACAATTGGTGTGGCACTCACTTTGTGTTTCTAGCCAGGTCCTGCGTGGCAAGTGTAGCTTGAATATTTACGTAAAATTTTATGTATGTTAGGCATTGAGGAAAGATACTGGAAACACTAGAACACATATCAACTACTTTGAAAGTACATATTTGCATGTATCAGGATAATATTATCATAGAGTACCAAACGGTCCCTATTTAACTAATGACAATGCCATGCAGATTTTTGTTTCCTTACCTCCGTTTGCCTGCAAAGACACATCAAAGTTTTCTTGCCAGAAATGTATGCTACCATTCCCATCCTCATCAACATACTCTGCTGTAAGACAAACATAAAGGCTTTTCTGCACTTTGCTTTTGTTAGAGACTTCCAGTGAAAAGGGGATGTCATATCCATAGAATGCTTCGCTTTCCGTGTGGATGCTGAGACTGATGGACTCTGTCTCTTCTGAAGAAGAAGTGGCTTCTGAAAACTTCTGGAATACCTCCCAGTGATGGACAGACCCTGCCAGGAATACAAATGTTTGCTTAGTTATCCCTTCACAGTAGCCCAATATCAATACTTTAAATTATAATTTTGATACATATATTTTATGTTGCCCAACTGCATTTTTCCTTTTATTTCTCAAATATGAAAATATACAAAATTGGGCAAATGATGGCAAAATATATAAGCAAAGATTTAGGAAAACGTGGTTAAACATTTTTTCTTCCAGATGCAAACATTACCCCTTTGTCATTTTCAGTGACCTTTAAGCAGTATTAAATACAAAAGCAAACATACATTCTCCAGCCACTTTATTAGGTACACCTTGCTAGTGCCAAGAACATATCCGCCACACCATGACACCACCACCACCACCAGCCTGAACCATTGACACAAAGCAGGATGTATCCATGCTTTCATGTTGTTTTCCTCCAAATTCTGACCCTACCACCTGAATGTTGCAGCAACCAGTTTGCCCATTCTCTTCTGACATCAACAAGGCATTTTCATCCATACAACTACTGCTCACTGGATATTTTCTCTCTTTCCAGACCATAGGGACCATTCCAGACCCTAGAAATTGTTGTGTGTGAAAATCCCAGTAGATCAGCACTTATTGAAATACTCAAACCAGCCTGTCTGGCACCAACAACCATGCCACGTTCAAAGCCACCTAAATCCCCTTTCTTCCCCATTCTGATGCTTGGTTTGAACTTCAGCAAGTTGTCTTCACTATGTCTAGATACCTAGTTGCTGCCATGTGACAAGAAGAATAAAGCAACCGAATGCATGTGCTCCTGCGCTGGACAGTGGACTCCACAATGTCAATATCCCCACATGAGTAAGAAAGGAATGCAAGCCTTACTGCCCTCAATGGACCAGGGAAATCCAAAGAGAACTGTATATAAGAAACAAAAAGAGGGCGCACGGGCCTAGTGCATTACCTTAAAAATGAGATTTATTTATAAATTGTAAAATACAAGAGAAATAAAATCAGATCAAAATGAAAAGCATATCGCAAGGGATGCAAAGTGTTCCAGGAACCCCTGAAGGTGGTCTGGTGGGGCACTGTGAACCTCTGGATAGGTGGCGGCTGACGCATTTCAAGGTTGTGTCTCTTCCTCATCCTTGAAACGTGTTAGTCACCAGCTATCCAGAGGTTCACAGTTCCCCACCAGACCACCTTCTTGGGTTCCTGGACCACTTGGCATTCCTTGCTTTTCATTTTGATCTGATTTTATTTCTCTTGTATTTTGAAATTTATAAATAAATCTCATTTTTAAGGTAATGCACTAGGCCTGTGTGCCCCATTTTTGTTTCTTATATACAGCTGCCATGTGACTGGCTGATTAGCGATTTGTGTTACCAAGCAATTGAACAGGTGTACCTAATAAAGAGGCTAGTGAGTGTATATTATATTGCAGCTTACCAATTCTTAGATTTGATGGTTGCATTTGTTTCCTTTTTTAGGCTTTCTTTCTTTCTATTTTTCATCTAGTGATTCAGTAAGAAGCTCTGCTGTTTTTCAGAGGTTCTAGTTCAAACTGCTTGCTTTAACTGTTTATAAAGTGGTAGATGGAGTTTGGCTTCAATTGGTTATTTTATTCAAATCTGCTAGTACATTTACCACTCCCCCCCCCCCCCCCCCCCTAGAATAACAATGTTGCTGTCTGCTGTGTCCTTTGCTCAGTCCTCCAAATTGGTGTCTCACTAATACAGGAGGTGTGTTACTGGCCAGATCACCAGCTGAAAATACAGGGAAAAAAGCCAAAGAAAAGAGAACTGATGCAGCAACCACCACATTTAGTGATGGGTAAGCTGCAATATAATACATTTTTGGTTTTGCTACCGCTTTAAAGTGAACTTTTCACCAAGTTTACTTTATGGACCATTTATGTATTTATATAAGTTGCTCAAACTGTTGGTGCTATATTCTGTAAATCCTTATAATGATAATATTAATAATAGCTCAACCATCCCCCCTTATTAATTTAGTTGCCTTTCAATAAAAATATCCCCAGTTCCAAAACATCCTTTTTTGTGAACTGCTGCTGCTGCCCAAAACTGAACTGTGTATTCAAGAAAAGGTCTTACAAAATACTTTGGACATGGGGAAGTTATATGTCTACTTCCGTTGTCTCTAGTTCATGAGGCACAAAACTAATTTGCCAAGCTTAGAAGCCTCCCACTCAGTACCCCAAATGACTTACATTCTTCAACATTGTTAGGTAACACCTCCAAATTCTGAAAGCTGGTGATGAGCTCAAACTTGTCACTCTGAAGCTGCACACACAAAGTCTTCTGTCACCCACTTGTGTTGGAGTGAAGGTAAGTGGGTAGATCAAGTCACCTTCTGGCAGAACATTATGACATCTGAAAGCAGCAGTGGAGAAGTCAGTAGACCACATGCAATGCATTATATGCATTTACCATATTTTTAAGATGCATTTGACATGCACCTAAAATATACATAAAGTATGAAGTGTGACAATTTAATTCCAGTAATGCCCATGGCATAGTACTGTGGTTGTGTGTCACCCAGCTATTCACACAAGCCTGTTCCGACATGTTCTAACTTGAGCAGACCAGCTGACTTTCTTTATGGGGTTTCAGAAGAAATAACACGTATGTGGTGAACATTCCATGAAAAAATCAAGTGTTTTTGAATGGCATGAGCAGTTTAAGGAGGGAAGGAAAGATGTCCACAATGACCCAAAAAGTAGGCAGCCAAAACCCCAAAAGACATATACATTTCAAATATACTTTATGTCTTTAAAAATATAAATCTTCATTTTTAGAATGCATTTACAAATATATGTAAAAATATATGTTAAAATGACTTTTTTATATGTTAAAAAAATCTGAAGAATATTTTTTAAAATTTATATTTTGTAAATATATTCTTCAGGTTTTTTTAACCTATAAAAAAATAATTTTAACATATATTTTTACATATATTTGTAAATGCATTCCAAAAATGTAGATGTGTATTTTTAAAGACATACAGTATATTTGAAATTTATTGTTTTAAATATTTTTCATATATTTTGTAATAAAAACGCATTTCAACATACAGTGTGTGTATGTATGTGTGTATGTACAGTTGCAAGAAAAAGTATGTGAACCCCTTGGGATTACGTGGAGTTTTGCATGAATTGGGCATAAAATGTGCTCTGAACGTCATCTAAGTCACAACAATAGAAGAACACAGTCTGCTGAACATAATACTACACAAACATTAGATGTTGCCATGGTTTATTGCACA